TATTTGCCATTTTTGTATGCCATCCCATTCACAGAAGCCTCGGGATGGCTTTCAACATCATAAATAAATACATATACAAATACATACATATAAAATTGGATACATCCTGGCTCAATATTTTAAAACCAATAAATAAAATCAACAATTATTAAAATATCATTTAAATAAAAAGGTCTTGGCCTGGCACCGAAAAACAAATAACGACGGCGCCAGGCAGACATCTCTGGGGAGCGCATTCCATAAGTGGGAATGGTAAGTTGTCCTGCCCTCTGAAAATCTACCCAGAGGCTGGGTTTGGATGTTCATGGAGGAAAAGAAGTCATCACGGTTTGTTTTCCCTGACCCCACATCCCAGTAATGTGCCACAATTTCCCAAACCACCTTTGCAGCATGCAGCTTATCTCGTCATCCATACCCAAAGTATACAACAGGGATGGCTTCAAGAGTATCCCAGAACCCATGGCCTGATGTAGGATTCTGGGGTGGTTTCCATGCCACCTCGGCTGTGCACCTTGTCAGGTCCAGTAGATATGTAAGCCATGCTCTGTGAGGGTTATTAGGGAAATCACACAATCTGCAACTGGCAACTATATTTTGTGTGGAGAAAAGAAGCCATGGTGGTTGTACAAGCCCAGCCAGAGGCTAAGGGATTGTGCTGAATGGGGCAGGCTTGAAAACAGCTGGTTCTCTTAACCCTATTAAAACCCTTCCCATGATTGAAATCTAGCGTTTAAAACAACCTTCCTGCAGCATGCCCAGGAAATGTGTGGCTATATCATGGCTCCCAGTGCGAGAGAACAGAACTTAGCCATATTCTAAGCCTGGCAGAAAATCCCAAAGGGGATCCAAAATTGTTAGAAGAATATTTTCCCACTGATGAACTGAAGTTACCTGGACAAGGTTGCTGTGCAAGAATGCCTGCAACATGCAAACCCGGAGCAAAATCCCCATCCTTTCCTTGCTCTGGCCCATGGACCACAGTAGCCTCCTCCTGATTGGTTCACTGAAGTCCTGAGGTGCTCTTCCCTTGCCCCTCCTGAGTGTACCTGCATGTCTCTGATGTTCTCCAGCTGTCCATAAAGATTTTCATTACATGAAATTCAGCCGCCGCCCCTCCATGCAATTTTGTGCCACCTCCCTGTTTCCAGCAGTAAGCAGGGAGGCAGACACATCACTTAGCCAATGGCAGTAAAGCAAGTCATGAATCTCTGTTGAGTGTTGAGGGCAGCAGAGGCTGAAAGCTAAAAGTGGCCACTTCTGCAGCCACTCTTGCCAGGACACTCTAAGGTGCATCCATACAAGCAATGGTAAAATGGTAAGCCTGCGTCCGATGATCAGAGAGGTCGTGGTGAAGCATGGAAACCTAAGAGAAACATTGTGTCTCTAAACTAATCCTACAATGCAGTAAAACTGGAAGACTCTAGCAGATACAACAGAACCATAATGGAAAGATTTCACAATGGTTTCTCAAGTTGTGCAGACCTACCCACTGAGTCCTTCGAAAGCAGCAGTGCTACAGCATCTACCACCCTCTTTCCAGCGAATGATGTATGAGGGATTGATTTTGGGGTGGGAATCCATTGGATTCCCCGGGCTTAGCTTCCTGGACTCTGAACTGTTTTGATGCAGCTGTGAATCCAACTTCCTGGTGAGCATATCCAGGGATCATGTGGTGCTCACCAGGAACTGAGTCTATGGTACGGAGTTGAGCATGTGGTATGGAAGGTTGCCAAGACAGGGCTGAGCATGAGAGGAAGACCAGAAACACTAGAAAGATGGATTCTACGGAGCTTTGACACAACAGTAGACACAAGCTATATTTTTGATATCAGTCTCACCGCCCCCCCCCCCCGCAACCCCGCGAGTGATCCTTGTCATATACAGCACCGGCATAGGTCACCTCATATGAACCCATAGGTGGAAAGTGTGGAGGAAAATCACCCTGGACAGATGAAGGAGACCAAACTGAACCCTAACATATGGTTCCCAACACTTTCTTACAATTTACAAACCACGGCTTCAAGGGAGCCAGCACTATGTACGCTTTGAACTATAAAAACAGCACCAAGAATAATAAGAATACCCCGAGTTGAATCTTTTATTGTTTTAAGTATCTAGTAACAAAATAATAGTGTAACAAATATTAACATGAAGTTATTCCAAATATTATAAAAGATGCATACCACATGCCATTCTATATAAAATTGAAAAGTTCTCTATTTTCTATTTATGTACAAAATAATTACTAATCAAAAGAAAAATGAATGATGCATAGTAAGTGGATTTTTAAATACAGATATGAAATATTAAAATAAGGTTGTACAAACGTCTTCCTCTTTCACTGCGAACGATTTTAAAATAAATACAGCTGCAGAATAACTTGGCTTTATTTTTCTCTCTTGGTTTAAATATGTACTAATTCACATTATCATAAAACTGATTAATCAACAGGATGGAGTTTTTATTAATCCCTTAGCATTAGACATCGGTCTAAAGATAGCTGATGGAAATAGCTGTTAAAAAGTAAGCAAGTAAAATGGGTTCTTGTAGGTTTTACACATTTGAACCAATTAAAAATGGAATAATAATCCACAGTGTATGCGGCAATTATTTACTATGCAATGAATTATTTGATAAATGAAAAATGTTGTAAAATTTCTTTACTGTGTACAGTATCATACAAAAAAAACTTAGATTGGTTTCTGCCAAGTCAATGTGGAAATGACCCTTGCTAATTGCTGTAATGCTTATTATTTATTCAGCCCTAGTTTTTGCTGGAATGAAGAACGTCCTGGAAAGGCAATTGGAAACCCCCTTTAGCACCTTTGCCCACATATGGCAGTTAGTACAGAGGTTCTCCAAAGGAAAGGTCAAATTTTACTCAAGTGCTATTAGAGTTTGTTGAACTCCCAGATATATGGATGGCTTCGGGTGTTCCATTCTCAGGATCAACATTTAAAATTAGTAGGAAGGCATTAATGAAGAAGACTTTGAGACACCAAGTCTTTATAAAACCACAATCCCCAGGATTACTTGGTTTGGAACCACGATGAGACTGATTTAGGTGCTGGCACATTCACTGTTCCTTTGTGTGGGTGTTTAAGCTGTGGGCAGCTATCCACCAAGAAAGATCTAATATTGTCCAGGGGGTTAGACTAGGCAATCTGTAAAGTCCTTTCCATCCCTACCATTTTATGACATATTTGGTATTATTAGATATTAAAATTATTTATTTCATTGGATATTTAAAAAATAAACACACTGAAACCAGTGGGAGAACACTTCAAACTACCAAGACAGTCTGCTGCAGACTTGAAGGTTGATATCCACTGATACAAAACATTTCAAAAGGACACACCAATGCGAAGTCGTGGAATTGGAATTCATTTGCAAAACCAATATTGTAGAATTCGCTCTCAGGAAAGCACAAGAATGACTGCATTACAGAATGCGGCTGTCTGTTTTGGGGTGTTTATTTTCACCATTTTCTGTATCTATTAATCAGTGGCTGCCAGTAATGAATGAGGTCTAAGCTATCATGTCTGGATTTTGCATTAATTTTACTGGATTCCAAGTTTTTCTGTGCTCTGTGTAGAAGGGTGTAACTTTCATTTAGCTGGCAGCTCAATTAAATAAGAGGGCTGATTTCAGATGATTGGAACCCATGTGTATGATTAGAAAGAAACTGTAGATAAGATTTCTTGTTGCTAGAACTTCTTGAATGAAACATAGAAGCATAGAAACAGAGCGAGTCAGAAGGGGTCTCCCAGGCCATCTAGTCTGATCCCCAGCTCCAGCCAGCTCCATTCATGACATGCCTACCATGTGCATGCCCAGCCTATCCTTGAACACACTCACTGATGGGGCTTCAACCACCTCCCGTAGAAGCCCATTCCATACCCTTGGGGTTCTAGCTGTAAGGAAGTACTTCCCGGCATCCAAATTGAACCTTGGTTCCCTGAGCATTGCTCCATTGTAACACATTCTGCCCTCCTCCTCAGGGGAAAACAGGTCTCTACCCACCTCCATGTGACACCCCCTCATGTACCTATATGTTGCCAACAGGAATACTTCTCTCAATCTAGAAGTCATGCTTCTGGCTATGCAACCAAGGGAGCATTTGCTCTCTTTGACCACTACGTCACACTGCTGATTCATGTTTAGCCTGCAGTCAACCAGTGGTCCCTTTCACAAGTGCTGCTCTCCAGCCACTTGTCCCCTAACCTGTACTTATGATACCCATTCTGATGCCTCAGGTGCAAGATCTTGCACTTATCCACACTGAATGCCATCCTGTTGTCCCCTGCCCACTTCCATAGTCTGTCCAGATCCTTCTGGATCTGGAGTATCTGCTTCTCAGTTGTTGCTACTGCCCCCATTTTAGTATCGTTTGTGAATTTGATCAGCAGACTGGTCATAAGACAAGTCAACTGTGTTAGAGAATTATGTGTAGCTAAATGGGTGATGTCCTTGGGCAGAATGGTTTCATTCTCAGGGTTCATTCGCAGTTACACTATCACTGAAAAATAAATAGTGCCACAGCTGAAGAAGAAAAGTAACCCTCTTAATGCTACCTACCCCTTCACAGAATTTTCAGAGAGAGAGAGAGAGATCTGGGCCCTTTTACCAACCAGGTTAAAGCAATAGACATTTGAATTAGATCCATCCACTGAAATCTTGTCCAGTTGACTCCATTGGATTCAATTTACATATGAACCAACCCAGGATGTTCAGTAAGAGAGACATTCACAGTGATAAAAAAATAAACCTTTTCTTTTAACAAGCTGATTTGGGTAGAACGTTTCACCATGAATCCAGCATCCAACAATGGAATGACTCTGTGTTAGCACTGACAGTTATATTTGTATAGTGACATAGATTACCCTGACAGATGCTCCATTGCATAATCATGTCCATAAGACAAGTCAATAGTTTTAAATAATATATACGAGGACTCCTCAAACATTAAAAAACAAAAACATGGAATGAAAAATGAGGCTGTAGAAATAAACAGTTTATGAAACACATGTAAGCATTGACTTTCCAGAAGGCTTAAAACAGATACAGAGACTATTAAAAAAACCTTTTTTTTTTTTTTTTGTAAAAAGGAGAGAGGACAAATAGCTGGTTGCAATGGTCCTTCTTTGTGTTATGTGTCACTCCCAAGCAGCAATTCCTACAAAATAACTGTTTGCCAAACCAGTTACTCCCCCTTCTGAGAAAGGTTGCAGTTTGTTGTCTCTAGGCATGGCTGTTGTTCTGAGTCTTGTTGAAGTATCTCCTTGCTTCAACACTGCTGAGGGAAACAGAACACCGTGATGGGTTCTGCCTTCTGTACTCAATACTGTCTGCAATTGCTTCCTTGATTATCTGCAAAAACAGAAGTGAAGAGTGTCAAAGGCAGTCCAAGCCGCGAGTTACTTCTGGCCGATCCCCCTTCCTGTAGACACCACATTTTAAAGTGGTTGCACGTTGACTGTTTGTGAAGAGCATTTTTCTAAGTTTGTATCACACTGTAGGGAAAACTCCTTGGAAGCTGCTGGATAGATGAACCATCCAGCTTCAGCTGTTGGGCAGTACAGAAATGATGATGATGCTATTACCAGATTTTTGCCATGTTTTTCTTCCTAATCTATCAAGAAAATCAGGTAACCATCAGGAACTGTCTACCTTTCTTGAGCTGACAGATGAGTTGGCACACCAGAAACAGTTATGCCAAAAGGAACCATTCAAATGCAATTTATAAAGGTAGCTTCTTCTAAATGAGAATAGTAGGGCTATGGCCAGCTTTTGTATTCCCAGGGGATGGCTTTATTTTCAAGACTTGCCCTCCCCAATCTGGTGTCCTCCAGACATTTTGGGCTACAGTTCCCAGCATCCATGCTCACCGGTTAGGCTAACTAGGGCTGGTGGGAACTGAAGTCCAAAGCATCTAAAGGACACAGGTTGGGAAAAGCAGTTATCCAGTGATCTGGAAATCAGACATGCATTTAACTTCCCACACCTCTGAAATAAAGTTGACATAATAGAATCATGGACTAGTAGGGTTGGGAGGGGCCAAGAAGGCCTTCAGGTCCCATCCCCTCCTGTTGCAGGTCACCAGGTTACACCATTCCACTCAGATGGCTGTCCAGCATCCTTTTTCACTGAAGCACACACACCCAGATTGCGCTATTGCACCTGAATGTGGGTGCTCTGAAAAGGAAAGACATTTCTGTTTACATAAAATTAGCAAAACTGCAGTGTAACCCCAGCCAGTTGAGAGAAATGACCTTGTGTGGAGGAGTGGGGGAGGCAGGAAAAGAAGAAAGTAAAAGCCCACCAATTTCTTTCATTCTCACCATCCTGCAATGTTTCTTTCCTGGATTGTAGTGCACTCAGCCTCTGGGCCGGCTGCATACCTTAGCATTTTGTTACAGTGTTATTTGGGAACAGTTTCAAGACAGCGGGAAAGGGAAATGTCCCCTTTTTCTCCCTCCTGAGTTTCCCTATATATTTAGGGGGAGGAGAGGGTTTTAAACCTCCCAGTGCAGTTTCCCACCCTAACAGAAAGCACCACTAATCTTTCTGGTAACCAGCTCTGACAACCTGAACAAACTGTAGCTCAGCTGCCCTAAAGAGGTTCTTGGTGCTCAGTGACTGGAATTACTCAAAACATGTTTATTTTACTGTATAAACAAATATACCTCTGCATCCATTTGGAGTTCTGAATTTATGGAAAGCATTAACTCTTCCCCACCCACCCTCCACCCCCATGGCTCTGTTTCCAACCAACGAAGGCAGATGGGAGTTTGTAGCCCAATTAATAGGATGTTGTCAAGGAACATGAGAGGGGCCTTTGAAGAGATTTATAGCCCACTCAGATACTAAGACCTCTTTTTCTTTTTTAATACATCATAAAAGCAAGTTTTATGAGAAGAAATAGATGGCAAAGAGGTCTAGCGAGAAATTCCTTTTGAAGGACACCATCTTATTTGGGTTGCATTTCTTTTAAGGAAGGATATGGAAAATTCCACTAAACCAGTAGCTTCCTTTAATGGGGCTCACGGAAGTCTGGTTTCTCAGAGTAAGATTCTCCAACCAGCTAGAACAAACCCAACTGGGTAAGGGGAATTGCACTTGATGGGAAAATGCAAGCAGTGGCTCAAATACAGGATATTAAAATGGCTTACAAAACATTTCCATTAATGCCTTGAAGCCAACTGTTTTATGCAACCAACATAATTGCTTGCTTACATAATTGTTTTTGCTTTGTATATACAGGAAATTAATTCCAAATGGAGAATGAAGTTTAGCCAGTAGATGGCAGCTTTTGATCACCTTCCAAGCATCATTTGAGTAATGGAAAAAAATACATTACAGTGCTTGCAAAAACACTCTTCTGAATTCCAGCTCTAATCTTGGCAATATGAAAGTTCAGAACCACAGCCTTATTCAAGATGTTTATACACTGACTCAAGTCCTTTTGACGCTATACTACAAATATAATTCATATACCCCATGCAAGTATTCATCATGAACACATGAGGGCTAAAAGTGGGCATGAAAGAACTACGCACACAAACCCAGATGCGGGTGTTCCCAGTCCCACCCACTCAGCCGCAGGTCTTCCTGTGTTGAGGGGGAAATTCGGTTGTTACATGCCCTCCAAAGGTCCTGGCCTTGATAACCCTGCCCAGCTCTTATAAACTCAAGACTGTGGCTTCCTTGATGGAGCTTATCTAACTCCTGTGTGATCTCCCACGTCTTCTTTTGCCTTCGACTTTCCCTAGCATGATTCACTTCTCCAAGGAGTGTTGTCTTCTTGTGATGTGCTGAAAGTATGACAGCCTCAGTTTTATCATTTTGCCTTCCAGGGAAAGTTCTGGCTTGATTTGATCCAGAACCCACTTGTCTGTCTTTCTGTTCTTCTGTATTCCCAAAGCTCTCCTCCAGCGCCAAGTTTTGAATCTACCAAGTTTCTTCCTGTCAGCTTTCTTCCCCGTTCAGCTTTCATTCATTCATCATTCATTCATTCATTCATTCATTCATTTGATTTATATCCTGCCTTTTATCTACAAAGGGCTCAAGGCAGCTTGCATCATTCTCCTCCTCCATCTTATCCCCACAACAACAACCCTGTGAGGTAGGTTGGGCTGAGAGTCTGTGACTGGCCCAAAGTCACCCAGTTGGCTCCATGGTGGAGTGAGGACTAGAACCCGGATCATCTGAGTCCCAGTCCCATGCTCTTAACCACTACACCACACTGGCTTTCATACCCATGCACAGTGATCAGGAAAGTTCTAACAGGGTGGCCTAATCACATCCGTCCATGGCACTCAGAACCTTGCTTTCTCAGACCCTCAACTGCATAGCAGCTTCAACTCGAACAGTAAAACCCTGCTCAGAACAAAAGTGGTGGAGGACACTGGTGCAAGGCAAGGATGTGCATTACACTTCATCACACTTGATTCCCATCACGTGAGAAGACCAAATGCTCAATGGAACTCTGAAGAGGCAATATTCTTTGAGTGCACTGAAACAGTTGTTCTCTCTTTTCCCTTATCTGAAACACATCCATACTTAACTGCTTTGAGCAAACTCATTCTTTTATTCAAGACAGGTCAACCAGCATATATTGGTAGCCTAATGCTTAAGAATGTAAGAGATGCTACGCTGGTCCAAAGGTCCCCAGACCAAAGGTCCACCTAGTTCAACACTCAGCCCACACAATGGCAAACCACCTGTCCTCATGATCCCTCAAGAAGGATGGGTGCAAGGACTCCACCTGCCCAAGCTCCTCAGCAGCTGGTGTATGCAGCCATGCCACCTCTGGTAATGGAGGAAGCACACTGCCAACATGGCTAGTAGCCAACAGATAGCCTTCTCCTCCAGGATTTTGTCCAATCCCCTTCCAATTTGGTGGCCACCACTATTTCCAGTGATAAAAATGCAGTTATGGAACAACAGTAGGAGTAGAGAGCTAGAAAAGAAGGACTTGAAAATCTGAATCTATTTAAAAGTACACTACAGCTTAGCCAAAAGGTCGTGAAGTGAAAAGCATCTAATCCACTTAAGGAAGTCAAACAGACGCAGGCACAAAATGAAAAGAATACTGTAAATACACACAGCCAACAGCCTGTAGAACAGGAAGATATTAACTAACAACATGTGGAGTCAGGGAAGATGCTTAGCATCTGGGGTTTGTAATGAGCAAGATTTTCCTCTACCCTATTCCAGGGTTTTAAGTGAGGAGCTGTCTTGCAAGATGCTGGAACTGAGTTCACACAGCATGACCACCCAGCCTGGCCATATGCCCCATGGGGGTCGATGGCTTAGTGGTCTACCAATCATGAGCCCAGATGATGATTAGCAGCCCTAGAGGATACTTTCCTTTCTCCTTCCTCCTCCTGCTTCCAGGCAGTATCCCATCAGGTGCCATGAGAAGGAAGAGAGTCCCTGTAGCACCACCAGGTCAGTTTTCAACCCTTATTGTGGGTATCTTCCTACATACTGACTCAGCTGAAGCTGTAAGCCAAACTCATGGCACTGTGAAGCAGCATTCATGCATCAGAAATCATCAGAATTTGCTTCATGTCACCACCTTCCTCCAGGGACAGCACTGCAGAACAGATTACTGGCTCCTACCCCTCTGCCATCCTTGCACTGGCTCAAGAGTAGACTTGAGTTGAGATCCAGCAGCCAGCAAGGATTTCAACTCTTCCTTGCTGAGTGGGTCCTCACCTCCTTGCCAAGGAGGATCAGACCCTGGCCACCCTTGCTGGCCTTTTGAAAGGTCCACCCTCATGCCACTGACAAAGAGGGCTGTTCCATGCTACTGTGGGCAGAAGAATGCTTCTGACAGCAGCCCCCAAGTGTCATTTGTCAAAGATGCCACCAGCAAAAGCCATGGACTTTTGCTGCTCTATCCAAGGAACTCACTGACGCTTCAGGCTCATCCACGGTGCTTCTTGCCATCTAGGTTTGGACAACAACCCACCAGGGGTAACAACAACCCAAAAACAGTCCATAGGCAACCCAGAGTAGCTTGCTTGAAAAAACAAGTCATCCTTGGTGAAGCAGCCCCTGTTCATACAACACAAAAATTAACCTGTGAAAACAAGCAAGGGTGAGGTGTTGTCCAAACCAGGTCCCTCATTTTAAAACACAGAAAGGTCCCCCATGGGCAAACATCTGCTTTTGGAAACCACTCCTCTAAATTCTGTTGTTTTATTCTGGTTAAATGGGAGGTAAAGACAGACTTGGATGGTGCAAGTCATACAAAAAACATTAAAACTCAACCAAGGGCAAAGACAGCTTCATTTGGCAGGAGAGGAAAAGTGCCTCATTTCAAATGGCTTTCTGCTAAGCTGCCTTTTCTATTCAACATACAAACAAACTTGCATTTCCATATCTTGTTTATCCCAGAAATTACTCAGAGGCAAGGAAGAAAAATGATCGTGCCCATCCATGTATTTGTTTATATTCTCAGATTCCTGCAGTTGACAAGCAGTGGCAAAGCGGGCAAGATACTCAATCCAGAGCTCTTTGCCTCTGTTTTTCCCCATGAGAGGACACACAATTACTTAAAGATAGAAATGTCTGATGCTGACTGATCTACCTTTCCAAGCAGCTCATAGTTTACACAAAAGGCACTTTCCAAGTACAGCATGAATGTACATGCAGGTTGCTTTTGTTCTCTTGTTAACACCAAACAACCTCTTTCCATTCAGAGCAGTGCATCTGCAGTGGTCAACCCTAGTTCTTTCTTACTTATTTACTTTATTTATTGTACTTCTATCCCATCTCTTTTTCCTTCTCGATGAACTCAAGGCAGCTTACGTAATTCCCCTCCTCCTCTGAATCTGATCCTTACAACAAGAACCCTGTGAGGTGGGTTAGGCTGAGCATCATGACAGGTGCAAAGTCACCCAGTGAGCTCTGTGGCCAGGTGAGGACTGGAACATTTAGATAATTTGGCCATCTGAAAGTTTTCCCCATTCTTATGAGAAGCTAAGATACCCCCAGGATGCCCCAGGGAAGGTAGTAACTCACCTCTCCCCACCCAGCCCAAGGAAAATTCCCCCTCGCACCAGTCCTAAAAGTGGTCTTCTGTCTTTTGTGTCCAGCTGGCACAAGGCAAGGGCAAAGCAGAACCCCTCCAAAACCAGAGTATCAGCTCCAACAAAAAAAGGCATTTTGGAAGATGAGCTTGGACTCCAACTTATCCTATGCCTTCCTGGACAACACCAGGGGACCACAGGATTGGCCCTCTAGGTCCTTTGAATCAAGGCACGCAGTACATCATACATACATCCAAGTTGTTGAGGGTATTGAATTCCATCAAATCATGCAGTCTCTTGAAAGCATCGTTTGAATACTGGAAGTTGAAGGTGGAGAATGGTGTGTCGGGATCATCGAAAATATCAAAGTCAGCAAAATCTTTCTCTTCCTCAGTTTCTCTTGGAATGCCTACAAGAATACCACAAAAGGGGAGGCATTTTACAGAGCAAATAATTCAGGAGAGAGGCACAAGATCCTAGCAAGTGATTGCCTACATCGGCGGTCCTCAAACTTTTTGAATAGGGGGCCGGTTGAAAGGCTGCGATGACCGTTGTGGGCCGGTGAGGTGGGGGTGCCTGGGGGCATGGGCCGGTGAGATGCCGTTGGGCACACACGAGGCGGCATCGGGCATGTGCGGCGGTGGCTCTATCATTTGGAGATCTCCCAGCGAGTCCAAAACCATCTCCCAGCAAGCCAGCAACCACCTCTCCGCACGTGTTGCGAGGCAGCGGCAAGCACGTGCATATGGAAGGCAGGCGGCGGTTGCTTGCTCGGAGACCATCTCCAAATGAGCAAGCCACCACCTCCCCCCCCCCCCGGATCTGTCCCGCGGGCTGTAGTTTGAGGACCCATGGCCTACATCATAGTAACTAGTTAGTAATTTCTTGTTTTATATGCACACACATACATATCGTAAGCTTTTAGCAGAAAACTATGTGAGTTTGCTTTTTTCACTCTTTAAAGAACTCTGTGTATTAATAACACCGATTAACTATTTGAAATTTTGGACTCAGTTAAGTCAGGAAAGGGCAAGCAAATAGTTTTTTTAATCTGACCAAAGTTTAGCACTGTTTTTCTAGATGTTTTTGCTCTTCTTATCTGCCCTCAAGATGGGGCAGGCTCAAAAAATTTTAAAGGTGATAAGGAATCACTGTTTGTATGAGAGTTCCAACTATAAGATGTGGTTTAGAGGTCCTTCTTAAAGAACCATCCCTCAAAGAGGTGAGGAGGGTGGCAAATAGAAGGGCTTTTTTGGAGGTTGTACCCCATCTCTGGAATGGGGTCACCAAAGAAGTATGCTTGGTGCTTTCATTACTAGCATTTCAGCACCACCAAAGGCTGTTCTATTTTCCAGATATTTTAATAATTGATTTTTATTGATTGATATATATGTATTTCTTGTGAATTTTAATTGTTGATTTTATTCTATCATACCTTGTTTATACTGCATTATTTTATGGAGTGTATCTATTTTATTGTTGGTGTTATAGTGGAAATGTACACCGTCCAGAGTCCAACTAGGGCTATAGGTGTAGTTTATACATTTAAAAAATAAAAAAAAATCTATCTGTTAGGAGTTTTTTTATAGTTTTAAATATTGTAGCAGCTAGAAAAGAGTCATCCCATTTCTCTGCCCCATCTGAGGGAATGAGACAGACATATTTCCAGTAGGACACAATGACCTACATTGATATCACATGCAAAATAGTGTAACTGTAAGTACCTAATATTTAGGTAACACAATATTTTTTCCTTGTACTTTTTACCACTACTGACCTGGGGCTTTGTAATCTCTGAAGTTGATATTAGCTAAAACAAAGTGGATAATGGTTGGACAATCAACGTCCGAAGCTGGATTCTTGGGTTTGAAGACATAGCACTCCTTTAAGCCTTCACGATCAAACACATGGGGGTCTATTTTGGGGAAAGGAAGCTTGTTCATCCTGGCCCATTTTTCCGCAAGTAAAATTTCCTAGGAGGAAAGCAAAATTTTGTATTTTCGCAGTAAGCAGACATTATGAAAAGGAAACTATGGGGCAAACTACAGGCATTGCGTCTGAAATTAGCATTTTGGGTATGTGCATTGGAGACAAAAGCAGATGACAAGACACCATAAACAAGTGTGTAGCAAGATAATAGGCCCAGTTCACATGCTTACATGGTGACACCTCGGGTAGCAAAAATGGAGCATCCATGTGTGACTCTATGTGGAATGCCCACATCTCTCATTGCATGAAGTCCAACCCTGCTTCTCTACCAGCTACATCCATCCCAGCTTCTCAACTGGGTAAGCATGTGAACTTGGGTAAACCCAAGTGTCGAAGAGGGAACAGACCAGTGACAAGTCGCTCATGAAGTTTCAGGATGTCTGGAAAAGGCTCAGAAGAGCAAACAGTGCTTCAGACGTAAGAGAGACACCCCTCTGTTTTGCTGATTTATGCGGAAAGGATTTAGTCTAAAAAAGCTAAATTCTGAGAGTGAATCCTGATTAGTAAGGATTGCTCATGTATCCCATGTACAAAGCACTGCTCATACTCCAACAGGCTTGTCGTTTTCCTTTAATTACACCACTACCCAGCCAATTACATTTATTAAGTGTTGGGAAAACATCACCTTCTGTCTATGTTCCCTGATGGTCTGAGATTACTCAACATGGAATTAAACAGTGAATTGCAGGTGACTACATGTAGGATGAAAGACTTGAAGTTCTCTCAGCCCCAAAATTGCTACTTATGGGGCTAAAACCTCCTATGCAGGGCAGGGTGGGAAATGAGGTTTAGCAATAAGTGGACTGTACACAAAGGACATCAACTATGCCAACTAAGAACTGGTTTCCCAATGAAAGGTAAGGTAACATCTGCCCTTTGCAAAGACCCTCCTCTTAAGAGGTGCCATGCCATCTTTGCATCAAACACTACCTTCAAAGTATACAGTATACTATATGCCCACTATTCTGCACAAATTCAGACGCATATGGAGTGCAAGCAAGCATGCCAGATGGCTTGGAAAGAGTCCAACATTACAGGGAAAGAAGAAACAGAACAGTCAGCTCAAACCAGATTAACAGTAGCTGCAGTTTGCTTCTAACTGCAGCTGTATACAAGGGTTTCAGCTAACTATGGTTGACAATGACAACTGGTGTAGACATGACTTTGCACCATAGAGACATGGAAATGGAAAGAAGGGAGGAAAGGCTAGGACCTCATGAGGCCTACCTGTTCTCCTAACAGTAAGTAGGAGATCAGGACCAAGTATGTTTGCACTGGACTTATAGTTTATGTCCATTAAAATTCATTATCATTTTAAAAAGAACCCTTAAAATAAAGGCAAGCCATAATGGAGAGCTAGAATACACTTTCTTGATCCAGCAAACTAAGAAGGTGAGAATACACTTTCATATACAAACAAATGAGATGTTCATCTCACTGCCAAGATTGTGAGTGATGCATAACATGAATAATAAGTATATCTACAGAATTTTTCTATAGTGTAGACACATGTGCATAAGCAAAGCTATCAAGGACTATTTTTTGTAGATGAAATACATGTTTCAATTAATACAGCAATGTCCAGGAAAGACAAATCATTCCCATCTATCTTTTTTTAAAATCACATCACACATTTTGTTTATTTATGTACCCTCTAAAGCATTAAAGATATCATTTCTAGAAACCTAAAATTATGTAGGTGTATTGAATTCAGAGCCATGAATTCCATCAACCTGGATTACTCACCTTAAAAGGTGGACTAGAGTCACTGGGACGTGCAGAAAAATCAAATGAGATTATAAGGTCAACTCCTCGTTGTGGTCTTAAGATAAGTGGATATGGAAGATTAAAGGTAAGTCCACTGTCTACAACATGAATCTTTTTGCTCTGTACATCCAAAGGCTCATATATCCTTTCAAACTCATCAGGATCTAGTAACATCGAGACATATTATGCCAGTTAATAAATGCTTTCAAAACAGATTTCTGTGTCTCAGTACAAAATAATAAAAATCAGTGAGAATCCAATTTCACAAACGGAATATTCATGTAAGCTGCCTTCTAATGTTAAGCAAATATTGTAAAAAGTCTGTGCATGTTGGTAATGCTGAGCTCCATGTGGTGCTTAACAGGTTGGTTCACAGATAACACAAATAAAAATTTTACAATAAATAAACCACATTTGGCTCCACTTATTCCCTCTTCTTTGATGCTCTGCAACAGTACATGGCTTTAATAAAGTACTTTCACACCCCCACTGCTGCTTTAAATTCAAGCTGCAGTGGACAAGTCCAGGCATGGTAACATCCATCTGAAGTTCCAGAAGGAACATGCATGGGAGGAAGCAAAGTCCCTCTAGCACCCTCATGGAAGGCAACGCTCACAGGTTTTGAACAGTTCTTAGCAATGATCTTCGGTCACCACTAAGAAAAGCACTCCCACATCAATCCGTCTCCTCCCGCCTTATGAAAAGAATGAGTTTGCCACTTGAGGATTGTAAAGGCCAAGCTGGAAGCAAGTGGTTCAGGAAAGTCCTGGTAGAAACCGCATCTTGCTTCGGCGAATGGGGCGGCATAAAAATGTTTTAATAAATAAATAAAATAAATAAAATAAATAAATAAACCCAAACCGGCAACATTTCATTTGCACCACCCCTTCAAACAGAGACCACAAATAAGGACCTGGGTAGTTTGCAGCTTGGGCTGACAGATTTTGCAAAATCAAAACCGAAACATAGTTTGGTGGTGGATGTGGCAGCCAATGGTTCTTTTCGTTATGACTGTGTGAGGAATCCGTTGTGTGTGGAAAATCCATCGGATTTCCTGGTTTCAGCTTCCTGGATTGTGATAATTTTGCAGCAGCTCAGGAACTGAGTTCCTGGAGAGTGCATCCACCATTTGTGGGGTGCTCACCAGGAATGGAGCCCCACCTTCCTGCAAATAGCAATGCTATTCTTCATGCCACTGTTGGCAGCATCCAATGATGAAGTTCGGTCACCAGGAATGGTGGATGGCACATTGTCTCAAGCTGCCCTCTTTCAAATCCTGCAGCCACTTCTGATGGGGAAGGCTGTTGGTTGCACAATGGGGGTTTATGAGCATTTGTGGACTTCCTCTTGTCTCAACTTGCTTTGCAGGACCAGGCTGAGCACAAGAGGAAGTCCACAGAATCTGGAGTGACAAATTCCAAACAGGTTCATCCCAACCCAACTTTCCATAAAAGGAGAAGTAACTAAGGGGATGAAAAAGGACAAGCACCAGGGATGGGCAAAACTGAATTTCAATTTTTCTTTTTTCTTATCTGTAATTCAGTTCATCTCACACTTTCAATTTTTCTCCAGCTCTGGGTTCAGCTTTCCAGGAAGTGAAAAATCATGTTGTATATGCTACCAGCTGCTTAGAGTACTACAGGTAAAGCAGTCTGCAATATTTGGTCGATTAAATGGTGCCTTCATTTATGAATAGCAGAGTCGAAGAATCATGTGTTTGCAACATTTAAAACATCTACAATGAATTGTTTATTCAGATTTCCATACGACCTATGGTAAAAAATCAGGCTACAGTCCAACGTAAAAATTAATGGGCTCCATGTGGATTGTAGGGGTTCTGCTCCCTATTGCAACCTCAAGACACGTTAGCATTTCACGGTGCTATTCAACCTGCTTGGAAACTGTTTTACCAAGTCAGGGTTTTTCTGAGTGTAACAAAGCCCCAGATCACAGTTCCACAACAAATCATCTGGTCAATTAATAGAAAGCTGGGAATTTGAAATCTACACATTCAGTGACTGACCCACTAAATCATGACAAGTTGCTTGTGCATAAACTGTTAGTGTCAACATTGCCTTTGGGAAGCTAAACTAACTGCTTGGCAGCTCTGGAGTAGTTTGCAGCTTTATTAGCAAACTGCTACAGAGATCTAAAAAGGCCAAATGTAGCTTCTTAGATGGCAACGGATTGGTCTGGTCTCGTCTTTCACTTATTTATTCTTTGCTCTTCTGAAAATTTACTGTAATAGTGCCTGTGCGGGAAACTATTTATTGCTCAGAGGCCACAACTATCCACTCATAACTTATCCCATAGAACAGTGGAGGTGGAAGGGGCCAAGAAGGCAATCTAGTGCAACCTTCCACTCAATGCAGGACTCTAAGTCAAACCATCCCTCTCAGATGGCTGCCCACTTGCCTCTCGAATGCCTCTAATGTAGGAGAGCCCACAACCTCTCTAGGTCATAGGTTCCACTGTCATTTTTATTTTGCTTAGAGTAAGAAAAATAATATTTCATTTAGTTTAGAGTAAGCAGCAAAATACATTAAATAGAAGTCAACTACCTATCAGTTTGAAGATGAAACTCAAATACTTTGGCTACCTAATGAGAAGGAAGGACTCCCTGGAGAAGAGCCTAATGCTGGGAACTATTGATGGCAAAAGAAGAAGGGGGCAGCAGAGGAAGAGGTGGCTGGATGGGGTCCCTTGGGCAATGGGTGTGAGCTTGAGTGGACTCTGGGGGATGGTGGAGGACAGGAAGGCCTGGAGGAGTGTTGTCCATGGGGTCATGATGGGTTGGACATGACTTCGCGGCTAACAACAACAACAACCTATCAGTTGTGCTTTGGCTGTTGGGCAGTATAGAAATTAATCAATTAAGTAATTAACAGCACTATCAAATGTTACTTTTGATTACAGCTTTAAGCAACCATTTTAAATGATTTTGTCTTTAAAAAAGAAGAAGAAGAGACAGTAGCAAAGAGAGAGGAGGAGTATCAAGTTTAGGAAGCACCAATGTGGCCTACTTAGGACAATGCAAGAGATGGCACAACACAGTCCTAGTTTAAGAGATACACTTTGAAGTAACGTTAAGTCTCTTCTATTCAGAACAACCTGCTAAGCAGTATTCTTAGTTGTGCTATGATAACCAAGCTTTTCCTTAAGGGAGCAGTTGCCCAATGGCCTTGTTTGGACAAAAATTCTAGGCGTCTCGTACTATTATTTAAAAAGTCAGGAACAAACTCTGGGGCTAAGTGCTTCTTTCTAACTCCTCCCTTCATGCCAGGATTATAAGCCAGTATCTGGTTTATAAACAAGCCAGATACTGTTGGCTTAATATAAACCAGAAACTAAGCCGTAAAGTGGCATACAAGAAATCTGAGTCCATAGTTTGTGAAAACTTGGATCCACTACATTTTAAATCTTCACTGAGAAATCTAGAAATGTTTTACAGACACTTAAAGAACCACATATGGTGTCTCAGAAGACCAGCTAACATAGCTCATTTGAGCTAAGTAGGACTATTCTTATGCAAACTAAATTTAAGTCAGTTTATTTGGTTCCAAATTAAAATAGAACCATCTCCATCTTCGCATGTTTTGTGATTTCAAGTTCCTTCTGTGAAACACCTGATTGCATAGTTAGAGCTTGCTATGCTGGTCTGATAAAATGGGACATTTTAATGGAAAGGTAAAATCAATGAAGAAATAAACAATTGTTTTCTGTTTTGTAATTATGAATTGTATATGTGAGATGAGATGTTTGGTTGAAATCACCCAGATTGCCTTTTTTCTCATAACCAGCTGTTTCTTGTCATGGCACACTGCTTAACTGTGTACAAGACAATTGCCAACAAAGATTCTTTACTTTCATTCCAATGTACTGAGATAAAGAAGCCAAGACTATGAGATAATTATTTCTTCGTTGTTCACTGCTTGCTTTCTGCTCAAGCATTTCTTTAAAGCGCAATGGAAAATGCTTTCCTTCCAGATGTTTTGGCCTACAACTCCCAACATGACAGACAGATATCTAAGGATATCTTGGGAAAGGGACACAGTAATTATGGGAGATTTCAGTCTCCTGGACATTACTTTGGAGACTCACTCGGCGGTGACAGCCAGGTCATGTAGCTTCCTAGAGGCTATAGAGGGAGGGTTTTTCACACAGAGGGTCCGAGAGGCGACGAGAGGGGGAGGGCTGTTGCAGGAGGATTCTTTGCAAGGCTAAGGCTGATTACGATCTGAGACTTGCCAAGAATATCAAGAGCAACAAAAAGGGTTTCTTTCAGTATGTAAATAGGAAGAGGAAGGGGAGACAAGTGGTGGGACCACTAAATAAGGAGGAAGGAGATCCAGTGACTGATAAGAGGGAACAGGCACAGATGCTAAATGACTATTTTGCCTCTGTGTTCACCCTAAAGCAGGACGGGGGATATCCGCATAGGAGATTAGATGAGGCTGGGGACTTAGGGGCACAGATTAGAGTCACCCCCCTTGAAGTTGAGGGGCTTCTCAGAGTATTGGACATTACAAAGTCACCAGGCCCTGACAGGTTACACCCGAGAGTACTTAGAGAGTTGGCAGAGATTCTCTCACGTCCGCTGGCCTCCATTTTTGAGACCTCATGGAGAACGGGTGAAGTTCCAGAGGACTGGAGGGTGGCATCAGTGGTCCCAATTTTCAAAAAGGGCAGTAGAAAGGACATGGGGAATTATAGACTGGTTAGCCTTACGTCCATTGTAGGAAAAACAATGGAAAGGCTCATAATAGAGAGAGATCTAGCATCACTAGATCT